AAGCCTCTTTGTCTCATAAAGAACAGCTTTTAAATGTTAAGTAACGGTATTACTTTTCCAAAAATCTATCTTCTATCTGTGAACTTTTTTTAAAGAAACTGGTTTCAACTCCAAGCCTATCTGAGCCACAGGATAAGATCCTGTTTAAAACAAAACACAAAAAACAAACAAAAACAAAAAGGGAAACTGATTTCAAGGTGGAAGGAGCATCTGCACTCAGGAGGAGTTTCGGTAACAAGGTTCATTGCTTTATTCATCCTTTACTTATTTCTAATATATTTTGAAACAGTCACATCAAAAGGTAGATGGCTTTGGGAGTAACGTCTATATATTACGCCCTTAACATCTCAGCCAATTCCAGAAAAATAGCTGTAGGGATGATTTGCAAGCTTTGGAAAGGAAGGCAAAGAATGAAAAAAAAAGCTATTTTTCCTCATGACTGTCTAATCAGACATATCACATAACCTGGGTATGGTGGTGCAGTCCTATAATACCAGGACTTGAGAGACAGAGGCAGAGACTGAAGATTACCCCAAATAGGCCAGCCTGTTTGATTGACATAGTAACTTCCAGGCCAGCCAGATCCACACAGTGAGTCTCTCTCTCTCTCTCTCTCTCTCTCTCTCTCTCTCTCTCTCTCTCCATATAAAATTAAGACTGCTCCCAGAAGGAACTGCTAGATCATTTTTAAAACACGCACTCTATTAAGGAAGAGTCATTTCTTTTTAAAATACAAAATTGAAACATATTAGTACATGGTGTTTAAAAACTGACATTGTTGATGCTATGTAAAGCCCAGGGAAAAACTTTTCTGTGTGCTACATATAGGCTAACATACACCAGAGCTTTTTTCCCATTCTACAGAATGAAGCATTTCTTTCAAAAGTGAAAACTCGCTGGGCTTGGTGGTGCAGCTACAAGGGAGAGTGAAGGAGGAGGATTGAAAGTTGTAGTTCCAACAAACAGAAAGACACTGAACCAAAATTATTTTAAAAAAGGCTTTAAAGGTGGGGTGGGTCAGAGTCTACAGCTCAGTGGAGGAGAACTTGTCTAGCAATTATGAGGATATAAGTTCTGTCCCCAGCATTGCAGGAAAATGGGGGGAGTCCACATAATTTCGAATTTTCAGAAGCATGTTGATTTCTTTAAAAAGTAAATAAGGAGAAACACATACAGCCCATCCCAATCTCCAAGTCACGGTATCTATAGGGAGGGGTCTTGGGGGAAAGCACGTGGCTAAGGTGAAGAAAGAACTCAAAAAAGGCCAAAGCCAAGAACTGGCCAGTGTGGATTTCGAGGGGTGGAAGATGATGCTGACTCTCCCTGGTAACAGGGAACAATCAAGTCCAACCACCAGACAGTGATGCCACTAGTAAATCCTCAGATTGGCGAGGACCTGGATGAGTGACGGGTGGGGGCGTGGTGCGCGCTCGCAGCGGGGAGCGGGGCGGAGCCTCCTGCCTCTCTGGCTGCCCAAGGTGGAGAGCGAGCCTGGCTGTGACGCGCGGCCCTCACGTGACCCGAGGCTGCAGAGCAGCGCCGCCTTGGGTGCAGTCGTCACTCCCATCTGGCCACCAGCTCCCTGCTGCTGTGCGCAGGGCGGGCTGGCATTGGGCCCGGGCCCAGCGGAGCAGGTAAGGCCCCAGGGCCCGCGCATGGTGCCCTGCCGATGCTGCGGAGCGCCGAGGAAAGCAGCAAGGGCGCGGCTGCCCGCGGCTTTCAGCTCGGGGCTCGGGGTCTACGCAGGGGAACAGCCCTGCCGGGGGCGGGACACGGGGGTCTCCGGGGAGGGCGGCAGAGCAGAGGACTGGGGACCTGGCCTTGGGGTCGCCCCGGGAGCCGCGGGCCGCAGGAAGGCTGATGGCGCGCGGCGGGGGGGGGGGGGGGGGGGGGCCGGGGGGGGGGGGGGGGGGCGGTGGCGCCAGGGGTGGCAGTGCCTGAGCCGCCTCCATCCCACCCGGCTGTCCGCAGGTCGGAGAAGCCAAGAGTTGCCCTGACGCATCTCACAGCGACTATTGAGAGGAGGAGGACGCAGCAGGGATAGGCCCAGGTTGGTGCCTGGGCAGTACTGGGGGCGGGGGTGGGGGTGATGCAGGAACGTCTGCTAAGCCCAGTTTGAGACCCCAGTCAAACCTCCCATCCTATCCTATTCTCCCTTTCAGTCCTCCATTTTGGTGATTGCAGAGCTCTGGGAAAGGCTCCTGGGAAATAAAAAATGGTGGGCTTTGCAGGAGGGAGGGAGAAGACAGAATGGGGGAGGGGCTAGAATTGGAGGCTCTCTAGAGGTTGCATAGTCTAAAATGGGGAAAAAATTATTTAGAAAAGTTACCTTGTCAGGTTCTGAATTTTGCTGGTCAGTGAACCAAGCATTCCATCTCTTTCCTTGCTCTGTCTTACTTGTATTCAAAGAATAACAACCTGAAAAAAAAAACTCATCATGGCAAATATCCACCAGGAAAACGAAGAAATGGAGCAGCCCGTGCAGAATGGGCAGGAAGATCGCCCTTTGGGAGGAGGCGATGGCCATCAGCCTGCAGGAAATAACAGACGCGGACAGGCTCGCCGTGTTGCCCCTAATTTTCGATGGGCCATTCCTAATAGGCAGATCAATGATGGGATGGGTGGAGATGGAGATGACATGGAAATGTTCATGGAAGAGATGAGAGAAATCAGGAGAAAACTTAGGGAGCTACAGTTGAGGAATTGTCTGCGTATTCTTATGGGGGAGCTCTCTAATCACCATGACCATCATGATGAATTCTGCCTTATGCCTTGACTTCTGCCAGTTTCCATGAGATTAATACTGTGATTCCCACTGTATCCCTTTTCCTTGCATTTTCCTGACATGCCTTTTCTGATCTCTTGTGAGCTTTGTGTATTTCCTTGTGTTGGATGGGTCTTGTGTTGTCAGCTTCTAATTGGAGATTGCCTTTGCACTCAGTGTAAGTTTCTGTCAACAGTACGGTTTTGCCCATTTGCATGGAAAATGTAAAGCTAATAAAGCATTGAAAAAGCAACCTAAACATTTATTATTGTCTCCTTAAAAGCATACATATGTACTTATATAAATACGTAAACAAAGAAATTGTGAAATGCAACAGTGTTTATTGGGGCACATGTATATGACTTTCCTTTTATTTGGAGCTTCATAAACAAAACAACTTTTCAGTGACTTTATGAGTGTGGTACAGGTACATAATTGTTAACCTGACAGACTTAAAGCATGCACCCTCCCCTTTAGATAAATTCTTAGAAGGATCCATGTTCTCTGAAATAGGGATCAATAATTGTCTTTCTGGGCTGTGGAATGGAACAGATCATGTGTGGGACTGTTGTTTTCGCTCCTTCCTTACTCAGCAGCATTTAACATGCCCAAGGCCTCCAGCCCCCACCCAGTACTTGGGGAGAACTTAAGGAAGTCTTCAGTCCTCCCCCATTCTCACTTGTCCATACAGCAAAGGATATGGATTCCTCCACATCACTCCTCTGAGGCATGCATTCACTTCTGATACATGTTTTTGTACCTATTGATATGTTTATAGCCCTCAACATAGCTAAATATCTGGTTTGTCTATAGCCCTCAATGTTTCAAGCCTCCCTTTTTGCCTCTATAATAGTGTGGAGAATGCCTTTATAACTTAAGGATATACGAGTTAGGTGAGTACCAATCCCGTGGGGTTTTGGCTCTTAAGAAAACAGCCCTTTCTGGTTTTATTTTTGTGCTCCCATTCAAAGACCTTAGGCATAAGTACAGTGGGACCTAGCATAACAGATTAACTAGGTGTTTCACGGGGTTATGCTCAGAACGGCATACTGCAAACCTCCAGAACACAAATGGGGCAAAGGCTTTATTTCTACCCTTGGTGGATTTCCTCAAGTGGCTGCTCTGCAGGCCTGCTCACCCAGTTTAACAGATTTATGTAGAAATGTAAATTACTTCGGGGGAAACAATCTTGAAGCTGGGTTATGCTTCTTGCCTCTGAAGCATGAAACTGCATTATGAGCTCTTTAAACAAAATGTGTCCTCTAGGCAGTAATTTTGTCATAATTATACCATACCTCTGTTTCTAGTCCAGGGCCTGACATAGTCAATATTTAATTGTTGATTGTTTTGATAGGTTAAGTATAATAGAGTTAGAAGCCCTGCTCAATGCTGTTCCTAATTGACTTCCAGTAGCTAAAGGCTAGTAATTACTGATCTGGAAAGCATTACATTAACGTCTCAAGAAGCATACCAAAGAAAGTATTGAATCCAATATGCAAAATTTTAGCCCTAATAGTATATTAGGGCTTAGAATGCAGACTCCCCTTACCTGCACAAATAAGGAAAATGTAAAAATTCTTGACACCTGAGTGCCTTTCCCAGTCCACTGCCCACTGTTACCAACATCTAAATCAGAAATTACTGCTTTTTACAGTTATGCAGGTGATTTTTTTTATCTGATTTTTGACAACATAGGCACAGGAGAAACTAGAAGAAATTGTACCATTTTAAAAACATAATCTGAATTACCTTACTTGATTCCACAATGAATATACAGTTCCAAAATACATTAGTAAAACTGGACTATATTAAATATTCAGAGCTGATACTGTTTTATCTTTATAAATGGCCTATTAATGCATTATCATAGATTTAGTACTAGTATATTGATAATAGGATTAAATTATACATTATAGTTGCTATGCATGTCCATGCTCTGCCCATTTATAACAATAATTCTCCCTTTGTCACCCTGAAGTTCACTGTCTGGCACCATGCCTGATGTATATTTAATAGCAAAATAAAGCATTCATTAAGTTGTTAAATAATTTCACAGTAGTGTAAAATTATATATAACAATCTGTATTTTTGTTTCTGGATATTCTACTTTCTATACACAATATAAAGTGTTAATGAAGAATACTTAAAAATATATATAATACTTTTTTATAGATATACAATAAAAGGTCACCAAATATGTTTAGATTGTGCTGAAAATTAAAGAATATAAACAACCATAATCCAGTTATCCAGGGATATCACTCATAATATTTTTAATTTCATCCTATATTTAGTCACAATAGAGCCAGATGCAGAACCTTACATGGGAAACACTGCCTCTTTCTAACCTTTAAAGTTGTGAGTGGAGGCATAGGTCTGTAATGCTAGCATGTGGGGGTGGGAACAGAGAGATTTTGAGTTTGAGGTCTTCCTGTCTCAAAAAAAAAAAAAAAATTACCTTCAAATTGCTGGCCAAAAATCCGGAGCCATTTTCAAGCCACTAAGTTTCAGTTGGCAATTTTTGATCATAAAGAAAGTATACTTACTTTATGTAATAGAACAACATAGAACTATTTGTGTATGGCATTTTCTAAAACATGTCAGAGAAAGAGAGAAAAGGCTGGATTCCATGAACAAGATGGATGGAATCTCATGTCTGTTCTCTGTCTCCTTTCCTGATAGCACATGTATTATGTAATGACACACTGATCTCTCTTAGAAAGATCTGACTTTTAAATTTTTAAACACATAACATGAATTGTAGTTGCAGTTGAGACAGAAAAGGAGGACCCATCTCTCCCTGAGGCACTAGGCAAGTATTAAGCACTGTTAAAAAATCACTATTACTAGTAAATTGTGTCCACTTTCCTGTAAATAAGCAAACACTGGGGGATCTGGCATTTGCACTCACTAATTAACTTCCTAATTCCTGCACTAGCTGCCTTAAGTAAAAGGACTATCGGTCAAAAAGCCAGCCAAACTCCCCTTCTGTCAGTATTAGCCAGCTTGAACATTTGAACACTTCACAGAGGCCTTTAAAAAACTATACAAAGATTGCAGCTGATTTCTCAACTTCCTGAAGGCACAGTTTAGTCAGGGATTGCCTGAAACTGTTTATACTAGATTTTTTTTTTTTTTTTTGCTATCCCAAACCATGATGAACTCTAGAGAACTAGGTAAACGTGAGTAGGATCAGACAAGCCTGACTTAGAAGTGTTTAATTATTATGCTTAGGACTGTAATAAACAACTGCAAAAGAGAATGAGATCAGCCAAGAAGAACACAGAGACGGAAAAGAGATTGGACTTACAATATTTAAAGGAGAATATAGCTCAGGCCCTAATATGCCAAGTTTGGAATTTATCAGAACCAACTGAGTTCAGATCTCGATCCTGTCCCCTACTTATTGTAAGCGAAGCAATGAAGAGCAAAAGACGAGGATACAATTTTCACATTAAATATATGAACACAGAAAGGATGAATGTAAGAGAATGATGAAGGGTATACTACTTCATGCTATCTGGTACAGTTTTAAAATATCACAGAAGGCAAAATTTAAGGCAGTGAGTGTTATGTAGATAAAGAGACACATTTAATAAAGAAAACTGATCAAACACCCCACCAGGAAAGTATCATATTTCTTAATGTACCTTCACCTTATGAAATAAAGCTGTATTAGTTACTTTTCCTGTTACTGTGATAAAAAAAATACCCTGAAAAATGCAACTTATATGAGAATGGGTTTATTTCTCACAGTTGAGAGTACAAGTTCATCACTGTAGGGAAGGGATGGTGGCAGGAGCTTGAGGCAGCCCATGGAGTGGTACCACCCAAATTTAGAATGAGTCCCTCAATCTCAATTAACCTAATGTAGATAATCCCTCACACACATGGCCACAGGCTAACTTAATCAAGATAATTCTTGACAGACAGGCCCAGAGGCTTATCTCTGGCGATTCTAGATCTCGAGAAGTTGACAATCAACAATAATCACAAAAGTAAAACAGCAGAATAAAATGATGATGAGTTAATTTTCTGTCACTGTGACAAATACATGAACAAAACAACTTAAATGAGAGATTTAATTTGGCTCCTGTTCTCAGAGGTTTTAGCCCATCATTACTTGATTCCATTGTGTTGGCTCTGAGGTGGAGCAGAAATGTCAATGTTCACAAACATGTGGCAAGGTCTTCTCACATCCGTGAAGTTAGGAAGCAGAGAGTGACAGGAAGGGACCCACCACAAGTTATATTTTTGCAAGGCATGTGCCTACTGACCTACTTCTTCCAAACGGGCCCCACCTCCTAGTATCTACCACCTTCCAATAATGCCATCATATTATGGATCTACCAAGATGAGCCAAAATAGAAAGACAGGGCAAATCTAGGTGACATAAAAGGGGAGGGAGGAGCCCACCTCTCCCTGGAATCCAATTGAAGGCACTTGCCAGCAAAGAAGCAAGAATCCCAGCACAATAAACATCTGATTAAGGCCATTGTCCCTTCCCAGGTGTAAATCTGCAGTTCTAACAATATCACTAGAAATTCCATTTATAGGGAAAGGACATGCATTAAAACCCCTGTGCAAATCTAGTGGCTCCTGATTTTATTTTATCAGTTTAAAGGCCTCTTTAGAGCAACTCTATAATTCCACTTATTGAAAGAGGAAGGAAAAAAGTTTTCTTGACAGGCTTTTGAGATGTAACATGACCACCATCAAAATGGTATATATGGATTAGGCTAAGACAAGTATTTGCTTATTCTCCATTGAAGAACACATACGTGCACTTGGATAAGTCCAACTTTCTGCAACTCTTTCTCTGACGATCCCATACTCATGCTCCTAGGTGTGTCTTGCTTTCTTTGGAGAGCCTCTCGTTCTCTCAATCATTGTGTTTAAGCATATATTAAAGTTCTTTAATAAAACTCTCCAACACTGTGGTAGAGAGACAGCTCAGCAGTTAAGAACACTTACTGGTCTTCCAAAGGATATAGGCTTGGTTCCCCACACTGACATAGCAAAAACAACAGTCCATAACTGTAGTTGTAAGGGATCTGATGCCCTAATCTGGCCTCCAATGCATTGCAAGCACTTGGTATTCCTACATACATGCAGGCAAAACACACTCATTTTTAAAAAATCTACAACACTATTTCATAAACATCAGACTAGTCCTGATATTCTCTTCAGGGTAAAAGTCACTAACCTCAGTTTGACCTGAGTTGAGGTCCCTAAAAGCTAAGAGAAACGCCT